GGCCGGCAGGACCCCGAGAAAGAGCAGCCTTTTGCTGTAACAGGGCAGGGGGGATAAAGGCGATGAGCGCCCACGGGTTGTCTCAGACGGGGGCCTTTCTTAAGGGAGGGACGGTTCTTTAAACCGCAGCTGGCGCCGGGGCCTCCTCGGCCATCGGTGTCCCCGGTCACCGGGCTGGCTTCGCCTTGAGAAATTCACCTCCGGTCGCCCTGCTGATCTGTCTGGAACAGGTCGCTTCTCCTGGTGACCTCTGGGTCTCAGGTTTGCTCTCTGGTTTGAAGCTCGGGTAGGCCGAAGATAACGGCTCACCCGAGAAAGCTGAAGATAGCATCTTTCTGGTCTTCCCAGTGCTTTTCTGTGTCTACGTGAAGCTGTCGGTTGTTTCTTCAAACTCATTCATCATCAGGACAGCAGTGAATTTTTGCCCAGCCGAAGCTGCTTCAGACATTGGACCTGTACTTTGTGCAAATCGTATTTTATCCAAGTTTTTGCCTTTCTTCTGTTATTAGGAAGAATGTCTGTTGATTGTTACGCTACTAACCACCAGATTGTGATCACTCTTGATTGGCTTTCTTGGAGAACGTTCTTGTCCTGGCACCTGCGTGTAATTGCTGCTGGGCCAAAAATGATCTGCCTGACTGTAGTACTCCCAAGGCATATTGCTTCTCCGTGATACTGTGACTGCGGTCTGCTGTCAGGTCACAGCAAGCCATGCCAGTCTAAAGGTTGAGACCTTTAGACTGCACATTTTTGTAGCGTGGGAGATGAGATCCCACTTGGGACAAGGAATCTCTCCGGGGCAGACATTCCTGTGGCTGCTTTCCATCACTGTTAACGGAGAGATGAGCATGGCCATGATCTAAGTGGAATTCTGAACCTGTTGATTTAGAAGTTGCTCACAAGGGGCTGGAAGTGTCTCAAGAAGTGAATTTTACCGTTACTTTTAATCAGCCATCAAATGTAATCAGCACTCAAATGTAACTGCCTGAATTTCTGCAGTATTTTTCCATGTAGTTGCAAGCTTGCCTTGCCCTCCTTGCGAGCAAGCTGGAAGCCCCATGGTTGCAGTAGCACAACATGGAGACCAAACTAATAAGCAGCGTTGTTCAGTGAGTTCAACGTCTCGAGCTCTGTGCAGTGCTAGTCAGAGCTGGCTAAGTCATACCTGCCTGGAGATGCACGTCTGCTTGCAGAGCTGGTGACAGCGTAGCATCTCTCCTTGGCTTCTTTGGGGGTCCAGCATCTCTGAAAACCAAGATATTTAGTAAGTCTTAAAGAAATTGCGTTCAGTGGCTTTTTCCCTTACCATTAACCAAGAGTCTTTCTCCCAAGTTAGGTCCAAAACCAATCTCTGCATGGCAAAATGGTCTAGGTAAGACAATTAATTTGGCTTTCTGATGGCATGTCATTATCCACAGCTGCGCATGACTTGGCTCCCTAGAAAACGGGGCAGGTGCCTTTCATTTCCCTCAACCTGTAGTCATACACTTGTTGGGCATCCTCCCAAAACGTCAGGCAGTCCAGCTAAATTGTCTCAGGTTGAAGAGGGTTTAGAATCCTGGTCTATTTAGTGGTTATTTTGGCCATTAGACTATTATATAAAAGATAGATATCCCTGCTGCTATTCCTGAAAGAAGGTAGTTGTAGTTGCTGTATTTTTTGCTGATCTCACCAGTTTTATATCCCTTGGACTAGGTCCAGAAAACAGTGAGAGTTATATAGTACCTTAGTTTCTGATAAGCAGAGATTCAGTTGGACTTTCAGCAGAATAATCAAGAGTAAATTTGGCACAAAACTAGCTTCTGAGCCTTTTCTGGACCCCTCAAGTTCAGGTCAGTATGCGCAATTCTTACACGTTCTTCATGTGTGAGAGTTGGCTTCCTGGGGAAGAGGAGTGGGAATACTTTCTGATGTCAGGATTCATGTAAATATATGTTAGATGAATATTGCCTTTAAGGAATTGTTATATAGTAATTATTAAAAGTTCACGATCCACCTTTGGTTTCCTCAGCCTACTTTTTGGGGATAATTGTGCAGATTTTCTCAGTGGTAGCAGAACTTTTGTATGCTTAACTTTAAGCAAGTAAGAAATTTCAAACATGCCTAGCAAAGGAGTTGAGCATGTTCTTTAAAAAGCAACCCAGTGCTTTATTATGAAAAACTAAGGCCAGTATTTCTTCTCTATCAAGCCCACGAGGAAATTGCTGTGGACTTCTACGGAAGTAGGCTCTACCCTCTCATCACTGCCAAATCTCACTGTCGGTCTCTCTGGCTGAGATTTTCCCAGGAAGAGCCATCTGCTGCATGTAATGAAATAGTCTCTCTTAAAAGAGATACTGTTCTGTGATTAGACTCGCTATACTAAGGTTGCACCAGCAAAACAACACTGAAACTTTCAACTGGCTTCTTAGCTCTTAAACAAAATGCATAAATTAAATGTCTTTTGTTTTGCAAAACAGAATCAAACCACAGGCCTGGCCCACTTCTAGAACTTTACAAGAGAACAGTCAAGGGTAAGTGCACATGTTTATGCTTTCGGAGGTCAAATTGTTTATACTTTTAAAATTACTTGGCTGCTTGTTCCTCCTATGTGCAAATAGAATGCATGATCATAAAAGATAAAGAAATGAAAAAGCATAAGCTATTTTTTCTTAATGCACTACATGTTCATAGTGATTTATTCTGTTTATGTAACAGGAAATGTGTTTTGTTATTTGCTTCTGCTATTGTTTAGTCATTTTTACTTATCTTGATCAATTTTGTTACTGTATTGCATGTAGAATGTTTCTGAAATTACAGCTTAGATGATATTTCCACTGAGTTTCAATAAGAGAAACTGAACTGCAAAGAACATGTGAGAGCAAACTTCCTTCTTCTCTAAAAAAAAATATAAATGATACTAGTTATATAGAGATACTCAATTTGTTCTTTCTAAATATGTATTATGTGGCCTAGTAGTCAAAATTCCCTCCACCCCCTCCCCCC